GCCTTTCCCACTCTCTTATTCACTATGAGTGCAACTCCATTTCTTCTAAGGGTTTCTTGGTTTCTGCTGTTCTAGGGATGCTTTTAACACACAGGGAACATCCATGAATGTGATTCCCCTACCCGAATCTGAAGTCTAATCTATCATCTCAAAACTCACCACCTCAATTTTCTATATGAGTAGACAATTCTATATGTAAGAAAATAGAAAAGCTATACAAACAATGTTTCAAAGTAAGATGAATCCTTCTGAATTGTGATCACCATGGGAGAAAAGACTGGCACAGTTTTCCCTACATACAATAACTGTCAATCAGTCAATCATTCCTATGTGCCTTGAACTGTTCTTGCCTGGCTGGTTTTTCAAGTTCATGTGTGTAGTTCATTTAGATCAGACCTACTTGGATTTGTTATATTCAAATTCTATATGCAGACAGTCTTCAATGCCAACTTCCATTTTAATAGAGTTGTTAACATCTGGGTATGTTGCAAGCTGGTGAACAATAAGGTCATATTCTTTAACCAAGTCTGATAATCTTCTTACTATTGTCACTTTAAGGAAATACCTATAAAAGAATAACATTATTGGAGACTGCATAACAGAATATTTAAAAACACACATACGTTGACTTCTCTCCTTCAATACAGGCAACTCTGTAGAGATAGCTATCTGTATTAAATCAACATCAGTAGACTGTTTTAAGGCTCATAAATTGCATTAGTAGTTTGACACATATTAATCAACTCAATTAACATACTTTAGCTTCACAACCATGTAACTTAGTAAGAGTTCTTTTATTCCCCAAAGCAAAACAGAAGATGTTCAATGTCATAATACAAAATGTATGTACATGTCTATAGAAAGAATTTATTTTGAACCCATTTGGTTGTAACTTTTGAGTGCTTCAGTATCCCTTTCCAAAATACAGACTTCATAATGAAACCTTTGAGAGTTTTTTAGGGCTTCCGTTTGTTGGGGTTTTTAAAATCATAATTAGACTATGATGAAACCATATAGATTACTCTTTTTACCATACATATGCTTGACTTTTTCTGCTTGGCATTTCTATTTCTTAAACTTTAGAATATTAAAATAAGGGATTTTTATAATAAAAGCAAAAAAATACTCTTCTTCCTTTTGGTTGTGGAAGCCTCTTTTTGATCAAATATGTCTCTACAAACAGAAAAACATATTTGATTTAATCTATTGAATTTTAAGATGTATGCATACTGACATCCCAGTTCAGCTAAATTAGAGTGCTATAGCTAGCCGCATAAAAACTGCATTTCAGTTTTCATACCTCAATCTGACATTGGCACCAATGTAGGATTCATATGGCTTTTCAACTTGCATAAATTCAAAGTCATAGCTTCTACTTTGTGTTAATTCACCAGGTAAGGCCAGCTCTTTCACTAAGTTTACAAATTCATGAGTATTGCTCTTGTCATTGAAAAGTTCTACAAAATTAAGGAACACAATCAGAAAACACATAACAGAAACATTTCTGAAGAGAATGCAACAGTTTTTTAAAAATCATTTGTTATTTGGGTTGTTGTAAGCAATGGACTTACAAAAACACAAAGAAGACAGAAGTTTTTTTTTTAAAGTGTAACGAAGAAAGAACCTAAAAAATAAATTTAGCATTTACAAACATTTAATTTAATAATTCTTTAATAGTTCAATTACAATGCAAGGATCTTGTATTCCGCTAGAACTCAACTCTTTTGTTAATGATGTTGCATAAGAGCCTAACATATTTTAATATCAACAAAGCCAATTTAACTAACAAGCATTTTTATACTGTACATTTAACAATTCAAATTTTGGCAGGACTTCCTCCTCCCAGTTTTACATTTCTCATACTATAAGCATGGATCAATTCTTTAAAAAATGTTTGCTGATGAAACATAATATACAAGACTATACTCAGTATTATGCAAGCAAATTTCCTCTTGAGTCACAGGACTTTCCCTTATTCTCTTCCTCTATCCCAGTCTTGCTCCATAATCCTGTAGACCAGGAATTCCTAACTTGAGTTCTATGGATAGGTTTCAGTAAGTCTTTGGACTCGGATGGGAAAAAAATTAAAACCTTATTTTCATAAACCTATAACAAATTTAGCTTGTTGTTATTGATTTCATGGTTTAATAAAGAAGCAGGTATATTACCATATTACTTATTCTTTTTTTTAATATTTTGATAACTGTATTTGAGTATAATTGGTCTCCTTCATAATACATTTGTTATATATTTTATTGTATGCATTTAAATACATTTTTTGATAAGGGTTCTGTAGGTTTCACCAGCCTCTAAAAGGAATCCATGGCACAAAAAGATTTAAAAACCCTGCTCTAAACCATATGTGCATGGAATGCATGGAGTGCATGGAGAAAAAAGAATCCAATCTACTGCCGGAAGCTGTACCCTCAGTGCAACTACAATATTGATATCACCTAGAAACTAAAGAAACATTCAAGAAGAAAAGCAAAGTGTAGAAAAGTTCTTCCAATCAATTATATCATCTTTACTTACTGTACCAGTTTTAGGACCAACTTAGTAACCAGTACCTTGTGCAAAACATTTCGCAACATGTGGGAGCATAAAGGTACCTCTTTAAATCACTGAAGCAGCTGTGCCGTTTGCAAGGCTCACACAACAGGTTTGGAAGTTGTCTCTGGCTATCTCTATGTATGTGCCAAGGAAGATGAGGCTGCTTTAACATTCCTGCTCTAGCACATTGTGAAGCTCCCCTTTTGAATGTTTTGCACAACCCACCACCAATATGTGGATCATATTGTAAAACTGTACACTTTTTATAGGATAATAGCTTGATAAAACAGTAGAAGAAATTTTTAATTCTTTCTTCTCAAATATTGTAGTATATACTTCAAAAAATACATATTCAACATATTTGAAACTGCTTCATTGGCTACATTGTCATATAAAAATCCACTTTTAATGTATATCATATTACATTATATATTCAAATAAAATTAATCAGCAATCCCAAACAGTTCATTCGTTATTAAATTCAATATCCTTGCTATTCAGCTATCTCAGTATTATTCTAGTGCCAAGTCCAGATTAAGATTTCTACAAATTATGGTAAACATTTTACAATTATCCATATTCAGTGCCAGTTCTATAACTCACCAATTTGCCCTACGAATTCAATTCTTATTCCTTGATGCTCTAGCCTCTTTCCATGTTGTTTAAAGACTATGTTTACCTGCAACAAACCAAAATACTAATGTAACACTTCTGTACCTCTGCAAAGTTTCATAGATCATTATTTATACGAGGATGTCACTGCAAATATTTATTGGAACAATCTTTCATTATATTTGTAGAACCTATCTTTTTGTATGCATACCTTCAAGTCAGTCTTGACTCCTGACAACTACACAGATATGTCCATGCAGTTTTCTTCGCAATATTTTCAGAAGTAGTTTTCCACTGCCTTCTTCCTAGGGCTGAGAGGAAGTAACTGGCTCGAAGTCACCCAATAGGCTTTCGTGCCTAAGACAGGACTAGAACTCAAAATCTCTTGGTTTCTAGCCAGTACCTTCAACCACTACACTCTAACCCTAGAACACATCATGGCTTACAACAATTTAAAATAAAACTCCTCAGAAAAGAAACACCCAGGAACAAAGCATAAACATGATTTTTAGAAAAGAGCATGATTTTCTGATCCGGCAGAGAAGGCATGTTGCGGATCCCATCAGTGAGAGAATATTGACTGGCGGGTCCTAGGAAGAGAGCCTTCTCTGCCGTTGCCCCCACCCTATGGAATACTCTACCCCCAGAGGTGAGGCGTGCCCCTACCCTCCCAGTTCTTTGGAGGGAATTGAAGACTTGGCTCTGCCAAGTTGTGTGGGATGAGGAAAGATACAACTGACCCTGGGGATGGCTAGCACCTTGACGATGCTCCCTGAGTTTATTAACACCTAATTAACATCTGCCTCTTGGAAGTATTATAAAGGAAGTTTGTTTTTAGTATATTTTAATTAATTAATTAATGTTTATTTATTTTAATTGATGTTTTATTCTATTTTTACTGTAAACCACCCAGAGTCACTTCACAGTGAGAGGGGCAGTGACAAATTTGAAATATAAATAAATATAATTTAAGAAATTAATATTATTATTTATTGAATTTGTATTTTGCCAACTCCTTTCAGTTTCATGGTGGCTTACAAATAGAATATCAAGATACAAATATTAACAAATATAAACAGAGAGCAAACTCCACTCCATTCTAGCACTGAAGATGTTACCTAGCCAGATAACAAAACATTTGCAAGAAAACAACCAAGCTCAGAGAATCCCAAGGGCTCCACAGTTCAACCTTGAGCTACACGTATTCTTTTCTACTGATACAAATATTAAATATATCTATCTGGCAATACAAAAATCACAAAAGTTCAGGAAAGAATGATGAAGTTAATCTATTCTAATGCTTAAGGAAGCCCTCTGTAGGTAGGTAGTCTTTGACAGTAATCACAGATCCTAGAAACAGGGAACTGTTTGAGCCGAGGTATCTCTTTTTGCCCTGCAATTTCAAGAGTCTTAGGGATTGGAGAGGACAGGACTAAACTTTTTGGTCTAGATTTTGGGAGAGGAACTTAAAGGAATAGGTAAGATGCTGTTGTTAGTTTTTCCTTCCCTCACTTAAAATTAACATACACCTGACCAAAGCCTCAAAACAGATACGATTATAAGGGCACAGCTTTCATAATGAAATCACTTGCTAACATATAGAATGATAATACAGTCTAGCTTTACTCAGAAAGCAAAATAAAACTAATTAACCAACTGCTGAAACTCTAAGGCACACTACAGCCTTATTAATGTATGTTTCCGCTTATATGTTCCATAAAATGCCATTTTGAGGGTAGGAACAATGAATTTACCTTTCCTGAAACAGATTCTCCATCATAGAACAAATAATGTTTTTCTATTTTATTATCTTCTGTTTTGATTTCAGCTGTTTTTCGTGATTCAGCATCATTCAGAACAACATCAATCTCACATATGGGACCAAACAAGCTTCCAAGAAAACTCTGCAATAAAAGTAATATTTATTTAAATGTACAAAATAGCAACTTTATCAAGTACAATACTGCAGACAGAAATATTGGAAGTTTTAAGAAGTTGCAATTATTCAAAGTAAAAATTAAAATCCTATAAATTCATAATAGAAAGAAACTGTGACAGCAAGATATTAGGACCAGAATAGTGCTAAAATCACTGTGGAAAAGTAGAAGTTTTGCTATAATAGAAAGTTGGCTACCTTTTATAACAAAGTAGAATCCCTCTACTCTGTATCACTCTAAATGAATGATAAAACATTTTAAATCACTTTATATCATAACCTTCCTAGAGGATTTTAAAAAATGTTTTTAAATATTTCTAGGTTTCATTTCTAGGTTTTAAATATTTCACAGGAATGTAATCCACATTAAATTCATATATGTAATGTATTTAAATGTAAATTAAATTAATATACTAGATACATGCTTCTCTAAGAAAAATACAAGTTATATTCAAACTCCATTAGAGAACCCTAATTAATCAACTTTGCCCCAAAGCTACTTTGATAAGTGAAAAGGGGAAGAGCAAAATTTCATCCCTACATCTGAATAATTTTCAGTTTGATTGCTACAGATCCTGTTCATTCATTCTCTTTCCCCCCACATATCTAGAAGAAACACAACACTGGGACAGATCTGGCCCTATTATATTAGTTAAAAATTGTTTTATAAGAATGAAAATAAAATCAACATGTTAAGAGTATATAATATTCAGGAAGTCAAATCCCCGCCCAGAGTTTCTGCCTATACCAGTAGTCTCTAAAGTTTGGACCTAGTAGACATTATGGGCATTCTCATGAAATGGCTGCCATGATGGGCTCTGCCAATTACCAAACACCCCCTTATGAGACAGCAGGCTGATGAGGCTACTACTTCCTACCAGTCTCTTCTATCACTCTATACTCTCTACCAACTCAATTCTTTCTTTGCAGGTGAGCTCCCTTCCAAACAAAGCACAGACAAAGTAGGTGCCGTAGAATCTATTGCCCACATTCAACTGTACTGCTGCTTCTATACAGATATTAGAATCCATTTTATTTCCTCTCACCTGGTAAATACCCAAGTCACTCTGATACTTTCCATATACAAATTCTGCTTTCTGATCAAAAGGGCTCTACCTTTCTGGATGTTGCCAAATTCTGTTCTGCTGCTAGTAAGACATTTAAGCTGACCAATCCCCATCCCTCAATATAGTATAACTGTACCTAACTTTTGAACAATACTAAATAAGTATATATAAATAGATGTCACTTTATTCTATTTTATTTTAGCCCATTTATATCTTACATTTTTAGGTTTATGCCTTAGTTTTAGATAAATAATATTCTGGGGTCTTTTTGGTCCTAGAGACATAGCTTACAATGGTAAGAATAGTGACGATAATATTCTGTATTATTCTTTTAGCTTGTGTTTTATGTTTGGTCCTCCTCTTTTACTTTTAAACAGTTCATTAATTGTTTTGTTCTATACTAGTCTTTGACCGAAATAAAGTTTGACTGACTGAAAACAAAGCACTGAGCTGCAACTATCCACCACTTATTTTCTGTGACAACTAGAGGCATTGCTGGAAATGCCTCTACTCTGAAGCTGGTGCCCTGCAGCATGCTGCCAGCTTCCCTTTTTAATTATGAAAAGAAACTCCAAAAAATCAGGAACTAGCAGGCACTGAGGGAGGCATTAGCAGGCACCTTGGCACCAAGAGTGGCACAGTGGGGACCCAAGGCTTATAACTTCAAATGTACTTCCTTCCTCTCTCGTTTTCATGATCACCTAATATATTATCTTTCATCTGCTGTTTAATCGTTTTGCTCAAAATCATGGAATGAAGCCGCAGCTTGTCATATGAACCCAGAACTCTAGGCAATTCTAACTTGAGAGGGAGAAATAATGTTTACAAACTTTACTGTAAGATGGTCTTGCTGTATCATCTTCATCTAGAAGAATTTTTTTTTAGTTTCTGGAATAGAAACAGAAGACTAAGGAGGCCCTATAAAATGAGGCTATTCCAGCCACTGATATTCTTTTCCCCTTATAACTCCATCCTGTGAGTGCAAGGGGGTGAAAGAGGGCAGAAGGGCTGTGGAGTAGCCAAACCTTCCCCTAACCCATCCGCAACTGGTTCTTCCTACACTCCCTATACTTTTGAACAATTATTGTTTCTTGTTTAAAGCTTTCCATACTGACTGCCAGCAGCTTCTGCATACCACTGTGAAGAAAAGCAAGCTAAAACAAACCATGAGTTAAGACTTTTTCTTTTGTCTTAGTTATAGAGTAGACATTTCTAGAAAATGACAAGCAAAGTTTTTACATTCCAGTAACAAGCACATTAAAACCACACTGAGATGCAAAGTGGAGCCAGATGGAACCATAAACTTTGTTAACAGCATGGATGAGTGGAAAATGATAAACCATGTTGACCATATCTTGATATGGTACCATATCTGGATTGCGAAAAACCAGACAGCTACTGGAGTTTCCTTTCTGTTGCTCTCTATCATCCAATGGTTGTCCAGATTTTTCAGCCCAGATATGGTAGCCCTATATCTACCCAGTGAGAGAAAACACAATTACAAGGATCCTAGCAGGCTCATTTACATCACATCAACCTTAACCATCCAAATCAAACCATTCCTCCAAATAATAGTCGGCATGATACAGCAGGAAGAGTATTGCCTTTATGTGGAAAACAGGGTGGCGCACCAGATAATCTTTTAGTCCAATCTAGCTGGATTTTTTAAAATTTTAGCTGTTGTCTTTAGTAATATCTAAAGATGATAGAAGCAGCTAAAGTTTTGTATGTTTCATATCCTTTTGAAGAGTAAGAAAGTCAGTGAATTTAAGAGCTTGAGATATTGTTGCAACATGGATGGGAAGGAATGCATTAACAGAACTTATCTAACAATACTTCCCCTTGGAGGAATCATTGAATGGATATTCTCTCTTCCCCAAAGTCCATATTTTAGAAAATGCAACAAACTACTGAAACTTTGTCAGTAACATTTACGTTCCTTTTCATAACAAGCTTTCAAAAACAAGCAATTTCCATCTAACATAAACTTTAATGTTGTACATGATGCTTCAGTGTAGAATGTCAAAAATTATCCACATCAGCTATAGCAGCTGCTGTGTCAAAACTGATTTCAGCTACTGCAAAAATAAATTAATACCGAAGGCGTACCAACTTATGACATCTCAAATTATTTTTTGAAATAAAAAACTTCTGCATATTTACAAGGCACACAAAATATTAACTTGAAAACAAGCTATATAAGGATTTCTAAAGGAAAGATAACAGAAAGCTCTGTATTCTACAAAGAGCACAATAGAAATCAGTAAATATATTATGATGAGCCCGTTTTCTATACTTATCAGCTTCAATAGGTAACATATATTCCCTGAGCTCGATTGTTAAATCAATCCCTTATTGCTCTTCAAGCTCACTAGCCAAATAAGGTTTAGCTACACATCAGGGTAAAAAGATGGCAAGAAGTACAGCGGTTGCTGCATATGGGAAGAAAAGTGAGTGCTTCATTACTTGTCCAATTCTTTCAAGCTGCCTCCCTTTCAAGGATTCCCAGCATAGCTCTGCCTTTTTAGCAATTAATAATAAATGGAATCATCCTACCTGCCACAAGTACTGCCCCTGCAAGAGAGGTTCCCCATCCCACCATTCTGCAACTTGCGTATGCTTTCCAAGCACATGCCCAGCACGCCTACATTAGGATTATAAAGACTGGGAGAAACACTAGACAGCGCCAAAGAGAAACCGGACGTAACTCTTTGCTGCCATTTAGCGGTCCTACGGATTTTTGCAAGCCCGATCTGATCGCCTTAAATAACCACCCAGAGACAGTAAGATTAACGGCAAAGTATAAAGTTGGAAGGTACAGTAGTTCACATCCAAAGGAGCCACCACCTCTGCAATCCCCGCGGTGTTCCCTTACATACGAAACTACTTCTCTGCTCCTCGGCTCTCGGGCGTCGCGATTAGACAGACACGCACTCAGCCGAAGGGCGACGGCAGCACCGCGAGGGCTTCCCCCACCCGCCCCACCGAGTGCGCGCGCACGCACGCGACTTGGTTTCAACGTCACCGAGAAAGGCGGAGTGCGCGCGTGGAGGGACGAGGAGGGGGGCCGAAAGCGAGTGGCCGCCCCCGCGCGCGAAGAAACGGCCCTCGGTGGGGGCGGGGTCAGCAGTCGAAGAAGGAACGGAGGGGAACACCATCTCCATGGGAACGACCAGCCCTTCTCACAGCCTCCCTGCCTCAAGAGCGCCAAAGGCCCGGCCCGCTCAGAAGGGGGGCCAAGGGGAAAGCAGCGGCGGCGCTGTTCACAACACAACAGCCCCCCGTCTGCTCCATCGCGGGGCGTCCCAACAGCCTCAATATTCCCCCGCCTCGTAAACCGGGTCGCCGCTCACTTACCATTGTCAGGCAGAGTCCAGCCCCCCTCCCCAAGCAACCGTAGCAACTCCGGCCCGCGCCACTATCATGTGACCGAAGAGGCCGTCACTTCATTCCACGCCCCCGTCACGTGACCCCCCCTTCCTTCGCGGAGGAATAGGAGCGGCAGGCGTCGCGTAGCGGGGCGACGGTTAGGGGGCGCTGTCCTCGGTGGGCCGAGCGAGGAAAGAGCCCGTCTAGGATTCGGGGGTTTGGTATTTCATGGCAAAGATGCCTTTTTCTCTCTTGCGACTAAGGCGCTGCTGGGTCAAGTCCGCGCTTTGCTCCCTTTGCCCAGCGCCGAACTCAGCCGGAGTTTCTGGGTCCATATAACGCCCTGAGCGATTAACTGCGCAGGCTGAGTCTGTTGGAAGCGGGACCTTCCATCTGCGGCAGCATCTTTTACTGGAGCCATCTTTTTCTTTTTCCTTTTTGCCCTTAAACCGTGTGGGCAGCTCTTCACAGATGTCATGGTAGGAGAGCCACGTTACCGCCGCTCCGAGCGTCTGCTGAGGGCAGCTGCAGCTCACGAAAGCTCGTGCCTCGTGATAAAATTCGTTAGCTGGAAAAGGTGCTTCCGAGCCCCTTTGGATTTCATGTCCCCGGCGTCTTACAGCCCTCAGCCTCAAGCAGTCTAATCGAGCAGTGTCACGGTGATTAACTTGCTGACAAGTGGAGGTTCTCCCAACAGGGGGAAAGGCATTTGTGTTCCACATCACCAGCAGACGTGTTGTTTTCACCCTAGTTCTGTGACAGAAAGAAACGGGGACCTTTCGACAAGATGGGCCCCGCCCCTAAATGTCTTGAATGTGAGATGTTCTTTTGGATCTAGCAGTATTGTAGAAATGGAGAAAGGAGTTTGCCCTGAGGTCGTTGAGGATCTTCTCCCAGGAAATATATTTGAGAGAGCAGTCCCAAGTGCACTGCAGTGCCTGGCCATTTTATGCACATTCCCCAAACAGTGTTAAGCTGAACAGACATTTTTCTTCCTTGGGTTTACTTTCAGAAGATATAGTGAGGGCTACAGCTTTTAAAAGGAGCTTATAAAGAATAGTGGAAAGTATAGCTTCTGGTGTCATTAACAATTACACATTTACCTGCATTATCAGGATGGTAGTTATAGTTATTGAAAATTGGAATGGACAATTGCACTCTGGTCCTACCTTCTGGGACCCCCATTGTCATCCGGTAACTACTGTATTATTGTATCCAGGTTCTGTCAGGATAGTTCCAGTCTGGGGAGATGACTAAGAAAGATGGCTCCCCAGTGGGGTAAAATCAGCTTTAAAATGTAAATGCTATAGCCAAGAATACATTGAAGGGTGTGCATACAACTAATCTTCTTAAATGTGTTGTAGTTTCTACCCTTTTCGTTATTATGACTATTCTGATATATGTTGTAAGCTGCCAATTTATTATTGTGGCGGGATATACATGTGATTGTTTGTTTGTTTATTAAATACAGGAATGCTGTCAGGAAAAGAAAAAACATAACAGCAGAACAGCTAAAGACAACTTTAAGCTGCCTCCACAGAGGTGTCGCCCATGAAGACAAGTTCCTTAAAAATGGTTAGCGAGGAGTCTTCATGCCATGTTAGAGGGACATGAAGATGAATTTCAGTTTGCCCGAGTGGCACATACCTGAGATGGGATCTAGCTGGGTTAGCGGCAGCATGTACTAGCCATTTTTTTTAATGTAATTACAATACTTTTATTCTGTGTTTCAGAAAACACACAAAGTACAAATGTTTGTTTTTAAAAAGGCTCTGCCCCAAGCTTACAAGCGTAAAGGAAGAAGATGAAAAAGGTAAAGGAGGGAATTGAGAACAAAGGGCTGAACCATGAAGTGGGCCTGGCTCTTCTCCCAGGATTGGGCTAGAGTGGCTGGATCCCTCGTGATTTTTGTTGATAATAATAATAACAACAACTCCCAGCAACTCAGTGGAAGCCAAGAGAAATCAGTTCCCAAGCTTTATGATCTACTTTTTTTCTTTTTTTGGTACCTTTGATTTAGACTCGACTCCTGGTGACTACATGGACAAATCCACACAGTTCTCTTGGCAAACATTTTCAGAAGTGGTTTGCCCTTGCCTCCTTCCTAGGGCTGAGAGAGAGTGACTGCCTCAAAGCCTCCCAGTTGGCCATGTAGCTAATGCTAGAACTCTCAGTCTCCTGGTTTCTGGCCATCTTGTTCTTTTTCTGCTTATATTTATTTGTTTTGAATGGTTGTATCATCAAGGAGGGAACTACAATTACTTTTATAAAAGACTGGAAACCCTTTATAGACTTCTTGCTGAAAATGAATAAAAATGAACTGCTGATTTCAGGATTTATTGATTAAAAAGATTTTAAACATGGTAATCACCCTCAGCAGCCACTCGTTAACAACTCAATAGAAAAAAACCTGCCTAACCCCCAGGAGGATACACATACATTCTAATACCAAAACAAGCAGCCAATCGTTAACCCAACCCCCCCCCCACACACACACACCCCCTTCAGGCACTCTCGCTCATCTCTATAAATACCCACAACAGGGTCACATCAT